GAGGAGTGAGGACAAGTTGGGAATAGAACTAAGCACATGGATTCAATGAGGACAACCTGGGAGGTCAGACAGAAAGCTGGCTTGGGGTTAGCAGTGAGTCTAAAAGAATATGGAGAGTGAGGTACCAAGCAAGTTAGGGTGAGGAGCCAGGAGTGGTCATGAGGCTCACAAGCACAGCAGTGATGCTCTAAGCACTTCACATTGACTCACTGAATCCTCACATGATCCATGGGATGGGGATTACCACATCTCCATTTTACAAATGGGAAGTGAAGGCACAGCGTTTTCATAATTTGCCCAGATCATACAGCCAGTAAATGGTGGAGGCAAACCCAGGCACTCTGGCTCCAAAGCCCAGGCTCACAACAAATATGCAAATAAGTTTAGTGTTTTGTTGTTTATCTACTGCCGTATTTTATCCAAGTCCAGTTTGATTTCCGACTGTTATACTTTGAATTCAGTTGTGCCATGCTCAGTTAGAAAAGGCTTTAAAATTGTATTGCAAAGCCATTGACAAGTGTCAGCCTGAGGAGGGAGAAAGTCATTTTCATTATCAGGGGTTAAATATAAAGTATGTTATCTATTTAAATTTTTCCATTAACACGCTTTGGGGAGCTTCATTAGCTCTTAAGAGATGTAATGAAAATTTCAGAGATATGAAGATATTAATTAACATGTAGCAAGTGCTACGAGCACTACTAAAAAAGTACAAGATGTCACTCGTGTCCACGGGGATTTTGTATGCTAGCCTGGGAGTCAAGGTTAACAAACACAAAACAAGAGCAAACACCATAAGACAGACTAACCTCTCTGGGACTCATTTCATTTTCCTTTCAGAAATGTTTCGTCAAAAATTTATCATAGTTTGAAAAACCAAATTTAAAAGACTTTTAATGAATGAAAAGAACATTCCTCTCTCTAGCTGTCCACATCCCTAAATTCCACCATCAGATACAATTACTTTTTTTTTTAAGATTTTATTTATTTATTTGAGAGAGAGAATGAAATAGAGAGAGCATGAGAGGGGGGAGGGGCAGAGGGAGAAGCAGGCTCCCTGCCGAGCCGGGAGCCCGATGTGGGACTCGATCTCGGGACTCCGGGATCGTGACCCGAGCTGAAGGCAGTCGCTTAACCAACTGAGCCACCCAGGCGCCCCCAGATACAATTACTTTTAACTCTTGCTGTCTCTGTTTGGTTGGGTTCCACCCCCTCCGTATATCTAAATTACATGCTTACATGATAATTCTTTGAGTGATGAACCTCACACACTGCTATGGAGGATGAAGGCTAATGTCTACCTGTTTTTTCCCCCTCACATACATTCTTCTCTTCCACACATTCTCTTAAATGAGTCCTATCACAAATCTTAAACCCATAGACAGTGTTTACAACTATGTAAATATCACTCACAGATGAGCCAAATAAGGTACTATTTCCTCCCTTCCTGACTTCTATCCTAAAGAAAAAAAAAAACTGCTTTATTTTTGTTTAACTTGGTGTTCTCCGTATTCTAGAATCTCTCATTCTTCCTAAACTTTCAAAGAACTATACAGTTCTTCTCCATATGGTCAAACTCATCAGTTTATTTCTCATTCTTTTATTGTTTTCCTCTTCTTCAGAGACACACTCCAAATGGGATTGATTGTTCTCCTGACTCAAATAACTTCATAAGAGCCCATTCACCATCCTCCTGAGAATTCCTTCATCTCTTTCTGAGATGGGTTCCCTGGGTCCCATGTTTCTATCTTGACTTGCTCTCTCATGTTGAATGAACACATTTCCAGCTTCCCAACAAAGGGTGTGTTAGAGGTTCTGATTATTCAAAGGACACACCATATAATATATTCCACAAAGTAATTCGAGGAAGATTTTGGTAAAGGATAAGGCATGGCAGGATAAAGTAAGCACAGATAACCATTAGAGAGATCCGAGATGCTCAGGAACAGTTGCCAGGGTCCTTGCTCAGTTGCACAGGACACACTTCCTCTACAGATCATGAACCACCAAAATATGTTAAGGTATCTTGGTCTCAAGAACACTGATGTCTCATCCGAGGAGGAGTCTTTCATACCTCTCTCTTCATGTAGTCAAAACCATGTGTGGGACCAGATTCAGTGATAGAAATTAAGAGAACAATAGAATCCAGATGCAAATCATCAATATGTATATTTTCTACAAAAAAATGCTAACAAGATGGCACAGGCTGCCTCCTGGTGTGTTTCAGAGCCAAGGACAGGACTGCATTAGTCAGTAGGTAGCACATTTCATTCAGGTTTGGCCAAGGGCCAACACCTTGACTACAGTCCCCTGAGAGGCTAACAGGTTGCAACAGATTGACTGAGACTGACCCTGTACTTACACAGAATATAAAAAGACCTTGAGTGTCTTTTTATGATGACAGAAAGTCATCTTTTAGTGCTGGCTTCATTGTTCTCTAGGCATACAATTCTAGGTTGAAAATTATTTTCTCTCAAAACATGGGAGACATTGCTCCATTATCTCTGGCAATCCTGCATTGCTGTTAAGTCTGGTCCTATTCTGATTCCTAGTTCTTTCTTTTGATTTTTTTCCTCTGGAAGCTCTGGGGACTTTCCTTCTGTCCCCTGTGTTCTCAAATTCCATCATGAGCCTTGGTTTAGCTCTTTCATCCATTGTGCCCCTTTCAATCTGGAAAGTATAGCCTTTGGTTCAAGAAGAATTTTTTTCTTTGATAATTTCCCACCTCTGATTATCTCTATAGCTTCTAGAATTATTATTCAGATATTGAATTTATTAGATTGAGTATTTTTCTCATCTTTTCTCCCCTATTACCTATGTTTTAAAATTTAGGTTTACTTCTGGGGAGATATATATTCAACTTTATATTTCAACTCTTTTGTTGATTATTTAGTTGTTGTGATCATGTTTTTGTTTTTAAGAGCTCTTTTTGTCTATTCATTTTAACAGCACTGTGTTCTTGATTCATGGATGAAATATTGTCTTTATTCTGTTTGAAGATCTCAATTATGGTTTCATTTAAGTTGTCTTCTGCTCTCTGTCTTATACCTGACTCTTCAAGTTCCTTTCTTATATTAGTTTTGGCCTCTATCTTTCATTTCATGTCTAGTGACCCTTGGTTATTCATTCATGTTTGAAGGTGCTAAAAAGTGTATCAGGTCAGACTTATTGATTTATAGACCTCATTGTAGGGTAACTGCAGGAGCCAACGGTTTCATTGCAGGATGCTGAAATGTCAGTACCCATAGGTCTTTTCTCTTTGTCTGGTCGGTTTCCTCAAAGAGGATCCTTTTCAACTTCTGTCTGGTTTCCTACATCCTGAGCAGGGCCTGCAGTGGGGTAGGAGCTGTCTCTTGTTCAGAACACAGACTTTCACTTAATTCCAATGTTTTCTTTTTTTTTTAATTTAAGATTTTTTAAAATTTATTTGAGAGAGTGTGCATGAGTGGGGGGAGGGGTAGAGGGAGAAAATCCTCAAGCAGACTCCCTGCTGAGTGTGGAGCCTGATGTGGGGCTCAATCCCACAACCGTGAGATCATGACCTGAGCTGAAACCAAGAATTGGATGCTTAATCAACTGAGCCACGCAGGCACCCCCTCCAGTGTTTTCAGTTCAGCATCTCACCCCTGTACCTGATGTCCCTGAGAATAGATCTCTGATTTAGCCTCAGCAGAGAGGAAAATGGGAGAGGTTTGGCCAGAGAGGAGGCAAGGGAAGTGGGGAAATCTGGTTGCATGGGTTCATCAAAGGGATGGGAGGGAGGTTGTCTAAGATACCTGACATCTGCAGTTCCCAAGCCTTTCCAGGGCTCTCAGTCATGCTTGTTGTTGGCGACCCCTCTGGAGGCAGTTAGGACACAGCCTTTCCTGTTTTCTGAGTCACCCAGTGCTCTTCTAAGTACTTTCTGTCCTTCAAAGGGTTGCTAACATCTCCTGTCTGCTTTACCTCCTCTCTTCTTGTCTGTCTTTATAGATTTATGCCTTTTTAAAAGCATACTTTACTCTTACTTTAGTTTGATTATCAAGGAAGCAGAGATAAATGCATGCACTTAATTAGTCAGTTTTGACGGGCAGCTCTGGGCCTCAGCTTTCTTATATCTAAAATGAGGGGCTTAGACCAGATCCTCTCTAAGGTTCTATGAATCTCAAATTCTGTGACTATGACCGTAAATAGGTGCTATAGTTATGGAATTGACTTTAAGGGTTGTCAAAATGGAAACAACAGGGAAATGACCAGAGCATGAGTCATTAGGAAAAGTTCCACATTAGAGGTGGGGACCAGAAAGTTGTGTGTAGGTTGAATAAATGGAAAGAGGAAGGAAGCAGCGTAAGTGAGGCACAGAAGCAGCTAGACCACCGATGGGAAAGGGGCGTGTTGAGAAGTAACTAGAAGCAAGGCTGGGTATTTCCTAGGTACATATTTCCAACTTATAGAGGGCCTTCGAAGGCTGAGATTTAAACTTAATTGCAGTAAGAAATGGCACTCTTTGAAAATAATATAATATTATTATCAAATGACATTTATTTTCACCTCAAACTTCGTACAATTCTCATTCATATCATTCCTCTTTTTTTTTTTTAAGATTTTATTTTATTTATTTATGAGAGACAGAGAGAGAGGCAGAGGCAGAGGCAGAGGGAGAAGCAGGCCCCCTGTGGAGCAGGGAGCCCACCGCAGGACTCGATCCCAGGACTCTGGGATCATGACCTGAGGGGAAGGCAGACACTTAACTAAGAGACCCAGACATCCCGTATCATTCCTCTTTAAAGTGAATTGAGGGTTACCTGGCTGGCTCAGTTGGTAGACCATGTGACTCTTGATCTCAGGGTTGTGAGTTCAAGCCCCACATTGGGCATGAAGCGTACTTAAAAAGAATTGTTTAAAGTGAATTGATAAAAAAGTTGTTTTATCTTTCAAAGACAAACTTCTTAAAATTTAATGATATTATTTTGAGGCAAAATGTAATTTTGATATCACATTTTATGTATTTTAATTTTTTATAGGTTTTATTGTTGTATGCATATAACATGAAGCCCCAGAATATTTCAGATGCTGTACCTAATAGCACTTACTGCAATGTCTATACTGGCTCTTTCTGGGTTCCACTGAACAGGCAAGTAATGAATGATTTTCCACAACTCTGCTGATATTTTCATTGGAATAGGCTGTTTTGTAATGTACAAGGTAAATCACAGAACTTTTAGAAGACTTTTTTAGAAGAATCTTCCTTTTATTTAGAGGAGTATGATATTGCAGTGGTTAAGAGCATGAACTCTGAATCCAGTCCGCTTTGGTTCAAATGCAAGTGGTGCCCCTTACTAACTTCACAAACTTAAATCTCTCTGTGCCTCAGTCTCCCTATCAATGAAGTGGGTATAACAATAATAGTATTTAGAGTTGTTGCAGAAACAGTTCCTGACACTTCATAAAGATTATAAAGAGTACAAAGATATTGTCTGTACTGTATTTTGCCGGTAATTTGGGGTGTGTTTAACAAATAATGTGCGGCTCTGCATTGGGTTGCAATATTAAGGAAAAACTCCACTACCTATCTTGTCCCACCCTTCCCCTGTGTCTGATCCTATTTTTTATTGTTCACCACGTCAAAAGTCTCTGCCTCAGCCAGGTTGTCTTCCTTCCTCTCCATCAAGCGGGGCATATCTCTAACTTTTGCTCATGCCTGGTTTCTCTCTTTTCCATTTCACTTTACCAGATTCCCAGTTCATTTTTTTAATTTTTTCATTGCTTAGTTAATTTAGTTTTGATTCCATTGTTCATTGCCCTTGTGATCTCAGCCTCCATTTCCTCAGTTGTAAAATGGAAATAATATCTACTCTGCCTGCCTCTTGGGGTTGTTGTTAAGATCAAACTGGACAATGTATGCACATACTCTGAAAGGCCAAAAGCACTGAGCAGATGTCAAGTCTCATTATGGACTCCTGTGTCTGTCAGTGTTAGCTCTTTGCCCTGCTAGGCACCTTGTAAGTCCTTAGTGAACAGAGACTTGGTGCTTCTCTCTTCTTCCCTGATGAGCCTTGTTCATGCTCCATGATTTTCATTTTGAAGGACTTCTTGGCCTCACCATAAAAGAGAATAAAACAAGAGATGTTTCAAGAGCTGGCACATTTTCAATTATTCAGTCAATTTTCCTTTTTTTTTTTCTTTTTCAGTGAAATGGCAGAAAATCTAGGCATAGGACATATAACAGCACAGCTAAGCAACAAAGTTAGGAAATTATACACTTGCTTTGTACCCAGAAACATGGCAGGATTTATTTTTTAGAATCACATAGTGAAAATGATTATAATTTCTGCAGAGTAGAATGTAATCAAACTGACAGAATTCTTTTTTATTCCCAAAAGTTCTTAATTTAGATGTGTTTATGAGCAGTGGTAGGTTTACTAAAATTAGGGACGTGCACAGTCACTGAGCCAACACAGAGGGAGGTGCCTGACAGTTTCTCATCTAACCTGTCCCTTGGTGGCACGGGGACGGCTGCCTGTTTCTCTCACTGAGGCTGGCACTCCTTGTGTTCTTAGGAGGGTCAAGGTGAGATCAGCATGTGGGGACTTGCTTCTTGTTGACCATCTTTCAGAAGGCAAAGTAAGAGTACAACAGGTCAGAAAAAACAGGCCCGAGAAGGAACCTGAATAACCAAATTGGGCAGTCCTCCTTCAGTTGTTCACTTCACTTCCTAATCTCCAAATTAAATACTACAAGGAAAACATTCTTTGCATTTTTCTTACAGCAACAAAGGAAAAGAGAATGTTCTCATTAAACATGCATAAAGGTTTCTGTGTAGTTCTATCTAATTACGCTCTTCTAACCAAGATCTAGTTCCCTACCTACTGTCTCTGCCTTCGAGTCTTCTGCCATCCACACATTTCTACTTCTGGCTGGGTCCTGCCTCCAGGCCCCGGCAGCCCAGGAGAGTGAGTGCCCATGAATCAGTGAATCAAAGCAGAGGCTGGGGGGAGCTGGTCTAGCCCAAATGGATATTTGTTTGTGGGCCAACATGGGAGTTCAAAGGCTGGACCCAGCATTGATGTGGACAGAGAGGTGAAGATGTATATGGGCAAGATGTTGGGGCAAATGGAGTCATGAGGCTCAGGGCCCGAAGCAGAGATGCTAGGTCCTCTGATGTTGCTCCTTGCATGGGTGCCCAGCCTGCTCTGCTTGGTCCCAGCCTACTTTTTACAGAGTTGGACCAGGCCATTTATTTTTGAAGCAAATAATATAGCTCTGGACATTACCAGGTCAATACCACCTGAAATGCAAACATCAAAGAATAGTTTATCCTTCCTGCAGTTCCACATGTTAGAAAGGAAAGCTATATTATTTTTGAAAGAGAAGTAAGAATTCTAAGAATTCTTTCTCTGGGTATTAGAATCAAGAATAGTGGTTTAGAATATCATCTTTCCTTCATGGGGTTTCTTATGGTTAAGAATGTATGTAGATACCTCATTTTGTCCTTACAAAATGCTGTGAAGTAGATGACATGGGTTTTATCATTCAGTCTTGCAGGAGGAGGAATGTCAGGGCCAGAGAGGTTAGGTGACTTGTCCAGGGTCCCATGCTGTTGTGTGGTGGAACCAAGCGTGACTCACCCAGGTCCTTTGAGTCCTATTTTTTCTCCAGTGCATCAGGCAGCTTTTCTAGCAGTACTGGAGATGACCCATTTTTTTAATGGATGTATTCCAAGTAAACTTTTAATAACAGATCTTTACATTTTAATCATTGCCTTTTTAAATAGAATCATTTATTAAACATACAATTTCAGATCCTCTTATTTAATTAAAGGTATTTTTTTAACCTTCTTTTGCTGAGAACCATCATTATGATAATTGAGTATCATGCCATACTGCAGATGAGGACCCTGTGGAACATTGGAGAATTGACATTCCTGCATACATTCCTGATGTCAGTTTGCTTTCACAGATCGTTTGTGTCTTTCTCATAAAAGTTTCCCTCTTTCCCTGGATGGAGACACCCACATGGATGCAAACACACAGGCATGCACACGTGTGCTATGCCTGTAGCATAGAATCACGGAAGGCCATGCAGGTGGCTCTTTGCCTCCTTCAGCTTCTGCAAATGCTTTTCCATCTCCTGACTCCACTCATCCGTTGGTTTACCTCTGCCTTCAGAGTATCCCCTGCTCACTGGCCTATGGTTCCAGAAGCTTTCCCTCTTCAATATAATTGCCACTGTGTCCTCTGCCTTCCTTCTTGGCTTTTGATTTTCCTTCTTTCTTGACTCTTCTCCCTACCCTTTCACCTCTCCCCTCTACAGTATACTTCATTGTTGTGGGCTCATTGACTGGCCTTTTTGAACCATGCCTATCTTGCCATAATTCTTACCTTCAGGTCATCAAGGCAGTCATCAAATGGCGTTAAGATTTACACAGGAGCAAACTTTGTCATTGCCTGGACTTTCTTTGCCCACATAGATGTTTTATTTTCTTTATTTTCATCTTAAGCAATATTTTGGATGTGTGCCTTTCTGTCATTGTGCCTCTGCCAGTCATTTTATATCTATTTGAGTATATAACTAGATCATAAACATTATACAGGTTAGAATTGTGTCTCTTTGCTTGTGTTTCTTGAATGAACAAATGATTGAATGAATGATGTTTGGGAATGCCAGAAATCCAAGTGTTAAATAACTGAGGACTTACTTTACACATATTATTGATTCTGGGAATAAACGAATGCTTTTCTTACCTTTTCAAGTAAAATACATATTTATCTGTTATTTTTAGAGTTATTTCAATTCATGAGAAACTATCTAATCTTAAGCAAATAGCTGAAATATCATTGCCAACAGCTCCTGAAATCGCTTCAGATGAAAATGTATCTGAAATGCAAGAAATGGAAGAGAAATCAATTAATAAGGAAATGGAAGTAAGTTATTAAATAATGGAAAATTGTTTTGCTGTGGCAGCATGGATGTCATTTTACATAATTATTTATGTGATTTTTTACTTCATCAAAGCATAGGAACTAAACTTGAACGTTGTGGTTCTTCCGTTCTCTATTTTCTCTCTTTAGAGTACCAGATATGATCCAACTTTTTTGGACACATAGGTAGTATTTCCTTCAAAGCTCTCCTAAGCTTACCAATTATAAGAATCTGATGGTGAATGAATACAAAGGCAATCTAGAGAAATCATCCAGATACCACTGTGAATCCCAAGAAACAATGCTCTGTAACTTTATATTATTCTTTTACTCTTCATTCTTAAGTCTATTGTTTGAACTTTTTTTTTTTTAAGATTTTATTTATTTATTTGCGAGAGAGAATGAGAGACAGAGAGCACGAGAGGGAGGAGGGTCAGAGGGAGAAGCAGACCCCCCGCTGAGCAGGGAGCCTGATGCGGGACTCGATCCCGGGACTCCAGGATCATGACCTGAGCTGAAGGCAGTCGCTTAACCGACTGAGCCACCCAGGCGCCCTGAACATTTTTATTACTTAAGAAATGTGTGAAGAAAAACTAGAAAGTACAGAAAAGCATATATCTTTCAGACCTTTTCTATGCATATGTATTTTTTGAACAACAACAAAAAAGGTTACACATCTTAATGGTGTATTATTATTTTGATCACACGGTTGAATGGTTTCTGTGGTGATTGATAGAATGTGTTTGGAGAAGAGGGTCATTTCTCTTTTACCCTTCCTAAGTTCTGAACCTGGTTGAGGAACGGGATGTAGGAGATGGATAGTGGAGATCAAAATATCAGCATCATTAACTGATAAAGCTGATTAGTGCACATGGCTTTAGGTCTGTTACCAAACGAGCTTAGTAGTATCTCACCCCTGAATGAGCCAGACTTGCCCACCTACCCACATGTATAACTATAGGATTGCCCACTACCCTTCCGTCCCCACCAGGCTCACTGTACACAGGAGCCGAGACCAACAGTTCTGCAGGCAGGGTGCCTCCAAAAATATAAGCAAAGATTGCCCAGAAGGGGCTGAACCTACCATGTTCTTTTGCTTTTTCCAAACTCACCAATCAGATAAATCACTATACTTTTCTGGCAGTAAATTAGCTACAAGTCTGAAAGAAGCCTGAAGTCTCGTTCCGGAGTGGAGTGGCAATTCCTTACCCTCTTTGGAAATGAGAGGAACAGAGAAATATTTGTTCTCCCCTAATCACTTGCTCTTTGAATTTCCATTTGCACATTAATCCAATTTCTTGAATTATAGATTCTGTAGTTATTGTGGCCATTTTTAAAATTAAATAGCTCTACAGGACTTACTGAAAAGGGACAGTCTCCGACCCAACCTCTCCTCACTCTGCAGTCCTGCTCTGCAGAGGCAGCTGTTTTCAACTCTTTCAGCTGTTTCTCATTATTTACCTCCAGGCGTACAGTAATATGTAGTATCAGTCATGAAAATGAGGTAAAAGCCTTCGAATCCAAGTGGGACAACTGAGGCCCTGCTCCATGTCTCCTCAGGCCAGCAACCAAGCTGGTGGCACATCCATCATATGAAATATCACCAGTCACAGTAGCAGGAGGCAAGAAAGGGGGCAAATCACACACTAGCTCTTAAAGTTTCCGTCATATCACTTCTACTATATTTCATTGGCCAAATAAGTCACATGCTACGGCTTGAAGGAGAAAAGCCAGAAATACTGATGAACAGTGCTAGAAGTTACAAATGATTATTCTTTTTTTCTTGGATGTATCAATTTGAGATAATATCTGTTGATTTTATTATGATATATAAGGATTTAATTCACTTATACTTCTCCCCAACTTCTCCTTTCCCCTTTCCCGGGTATTGTTATATCACAGAGTTTGGTTAAATCGATATTCAGTATTTACATTATTACAGCCAAGTCAGATAGTGTACTAAGGTTATTTTTCTTTCCTGTATATACTTTGATTCTTCTTGACTTGTCTTTTTTCCTTAACTTTCTTCTGACCATTACATCAGAATTTTCACATGTTCACCCATAGATTTTTACCCAAGTGTTCATGCTTATCAAATAATGTCTCAGTTCCTTTATTTCTTCTGCTTTAGCTGAGGACTGCCTACCCAACAGTGCCTGCTACACAGCTCTAATTCTGGGACCTCCCTTTGCTGCTTTCCTGGTTGAACTCCCAGCCGGTTGGGGCCTGGCTCTGTTTTTCCTCTCTGCAAGCTTTTAGGATCTTCCCTTCATATTTGGTCTGCTGTATCTTTTTCCTTAATTCACTTTTTGCTAGGTTAATATTCAATTACCAATAGCAAAACATTTTTAATTCTTAAAGAATAGTATTGGTATAGCTCTTTTTTGGTCTTTTTTCTAATTTTTGTTTTTTACCATTTTAACCTTTTCTTTTTATTGAAGTATAGTTGACACACGATGTCATGTTAGTTTCAGTGTAGCTTTAGCCCTTTTTTACCGTTTTCCTCATCTGTGCACTCATATGAAAGCATAAAAGTTGGCAACTCTCCTGATTTTTAGTATACTTGTTTGCATTTTGAGCCTGAATTTACCAGTAGAGTGAGTGAATGCATTTTTCATTATTGTGAAAGCAACAAGCGCAGCTGTAAGAGGATTCATCAGGAAAGAACAGTTAGCCTTTGTGGAATGCCACTTTCCCATACTTACAACTCCTCTGCTATGTGCTTGGATTTATCATAGAACTGATGTCTTAGATTTTGGGTTGTACATCCCAAAAATCTTTTCAGTGTCTTTGTATGTTACTATATGGATTACTGGATGTTTCATGGTATTACTGATATACTGAGTACTTATAATCTCCTAATAGATCAGATATCTCAAACCCATGAGATTATATATATTATAAAATACTAATTATAACATACATATTTTTATAAAGTGTATGGTTGCCCTTTTACATCTGTTTTCAAGAAGAACTCAGCTCTGGTGTCATTTTTGCACTTCTTTTGTAGATCACTTAATAATCACAGTTTTTCAGTTGTAGACCAAACATATCAGATTGCTGTTTTTGAGCCATAGTCTAGAATATTCTTTGCTGAAATTGTCCCTGAATCCACTTCTAGATAGTTCATATATGGAAAATGGTTATTTTCTCCTGAACCCATTTGTTTTTTCAGCTTAGATTGTCTGAGGCAGGAGAGTGAGCATCCATAAAAGCAGGGAGTCTAGGTTGTGCTCTGCCACTCAGTTTTCCTACCTAGGGTCAGTCACTTAAACTTTTCTGGGATTAATTTTCTTCTCATCTCTAAAAATGATCATTTCATTAAATGGAGATGGAGAGTTGTGCCCCATGGTTGGAATGTGAATCATCAGAATTTCCCTGTGTGTCCAATGTGGGTATCAAATTTATCACAATGAGCCCAGTGTCTCAGTCAAGGGGTTGACTATGAATATAAACAAATACCAAATAAATGGGGGTATGGGGGAGCATTCGAATGTCAGCAGAGGGAGGAATCCAGAGGCCCTACCTTGACTTAAACACGGTTTGTGGCTTGCTTTCATGTCCTAACTGGAATGGTATATGTGAGTGGATCAGTCCTTGAGTAAAACAAACTGCTTTCATTCCTGATGTTCTCTGCTCTGTCTTTGAATTTGTCTTATTCTTCAATTTAGAAAATGTTTCTTCAGCTTTAAGTAGGGCATTTTCAGCTATGTTTCAGTTCTGTTGGTTCTATGTATGAGAGAATGTCATCAAATGGAAGACAAATTGATATTTGTTTAGGTGAATTGGCAAACAGAGTGGTTCAGAACATTTGAAAAGTTGAGAAATAGAAGGAATATATAAAGTTTTCTTTTTTTCCAGTATGCCAACTGGAACTTAAAGAAGGGCAGCTATATTCTGTGTTACAACACATCTCATTGACTAAATCTGCCGGTTCGTTGTCATGACAACCTTCACTTGGCGCTAATAAGTTAACTAGGGCACTTGAAGAGATTGATTCTGGTCTGGAATTGGACAGGATTTCATAACCTCTATAATCTATTATATTTATTTCTATCACAGTATAGATTTTTGGTGGGTTATTAAGTAGAAGGGCCCAGAAAATGTGCCTTTGGTTGATATGGGGGAATAATGAATCTTATTCTCTTTCTTATTCCCTTCCCTTTTTTACCCCCTCCCCCCCAAAAAAGCCTATAGTTGGAATAAGCTAAGAAATTCAGAACACAGATATTAATTTAAGATATATAGAGAGGGTTATAGAACAGGTATTCTAATCACTTCTGGCTTGAAAACTATGTATGTCCTTCTAAAATGAACAACACTGGCTCAGAATGACTGAGTTATTTTAACCTGTCATTCATAGCTTTAGGAGTATCTTCAGAGCTTACCAGGGACTTTAAAGCATATGAAAGATGTAAACAATCCTGACTTTAAGAGACAAACACCTTGTTTGGAATGATAGCATACTGATATGAAAAGCCTAAAAATATGTTTACCAATTCACCTAAGGTTAGTTCAGCAAACATTTATGGGATGCCAGGTTGTACCAAGGCAATTAAAATTTGTATATAGTCGGGGTGCCTGAGTGGCTCCATCGGTTAAGCGTCAGACTCTTGATTTTGGCTCAGGTCATGATCTCAGGGTTGTGAGATCGAGCCCCATGTTGGGCTCTGCGCTGGGCACGGAGCCTGCTTAAGATTCTCTCTCTCTCCCCCTCTGCCACACCCCTCAAAATAAAATCTTAAAAAAGATTAGTATATAGTCAACATATCCCAAATATCAAAGTACTATGAAAACAGAAAAAAATACAATTGGACATTAGCATCAATTAACAAATTCTTTTTGAGGAAGTATTATGTGCAAAAATTTTCCAGGCTTGGGAAGGAGATAAGGACATAACAGAAATCAGTACAATTAGGTCTTTGTCATGGAGGAGCTTAATCATTGTATAAGTCTGGCCATAAGTACCCAGATGTCATTCATAATGAGCCCAGCCACCTGGTAGTCCTCTTTTAGCAAAATTCAAAGAAACATCAATCTGATGTTCAAAACCATTGAAAATAATCTAAGTCTTTATCGAGTCTCTCATAAGAACATAAACCATTACAGGGAATCCTTTCATAATACATAGCAAAACTTCTCTTAAATCTTTTCCCCAACTGTCGTGTTCTTTAGTATCTCTCTGACATCCACATGTGGCTCTCTGACAAAATACCTCCAAACACCCTGTACCTTTACTGTATTGTTTTGGCAGTTATGTGTTTATGGGTCTCTTCCTCTCTCTTTACTGCAAATTCCTTTGCTGGGTGTCTTATTCATCATCTTATCTCCAATATCTAACCTAGCGCCTGACACACAGTGCCTCTCGAGTACTTGCTTGGAAAGCTTCTAGTTGGAGGGCCCTCATAGCAGACTGAGGATACAGCAAGAGAAGGGATGTGAAGTCAGGGACTGAATGTTCTACTCGGGACAATGAGCTATCTGTTGTGGTGGGAGAACGGGGGAATGCAGTGGGAGATGGGGTTGAAGAGGTGGGTGGAACGAAGTGCTTCCTCCTCTCTGAGTCACCACATGGTACTGTTAAGAGTCCATCTCTCCTTTTCTTCCCACTAGACCATCAATCAGCTGCTTAAGGACTCTCTTTTTGTCTTTTCATTACCAGTTTATGGCACTTAGGATGCATATCGTAGGCGCTGAATGAAAAAAATGGTGAGTGAACTTTGTTCTGTAGAGCAAGGGCCAGGAGAAGGCAGGGCTGGGTACGGGTGGTACGAGAGGGAGGGGGCAGCACCTGGAAGGACTTCTCATGATCCACCCTGTGATTTGCTGAGACGTGTGGTGGCGTGGCCCTGGTGGCATGTGAGGGAGGGATGAGGGAAGCAAGAGTTTGGAGGATGGAAAACAATTTAGGAAGTTTTTTTTCCATAGGTGAAAGAAGATGAGGATTTCAACTAAGTCAAAGAGTCGGCATGGTTATTTTTGAAGTAACTCAGAAAACCATCATAGAATCATCAGATGCTCCTTTTTAAGGGAAAAATGGCAAAGATTGAACAAGGGTTATTCTGTGTCCTCCCAGCCCCTTGCCAGTCACGCATAGTATACCTCTGGCAGCTTTCTGCCTGGTGTGATGAGCTCAAGGCTACATTTCTGTGGTAGCTGAGCCAATCAGCCAACGTCTGATATTTGTAATGGTTTACTGCAAATAATGCCAAAGAAATAGGATGTTGTTGAGGTGAAATTTCTGCTTGATAAATGTTGAGACAGGGAGCAGAAGGCACTTATTTATCAGGTAACATTGCTGTCTTCATCTGTTACATGAAATGATTAATGATATAGACAGTCTCATTTTGCTTGATAACTCTTGATGAAATCATGACAGTAACGCATCATGGCTGTTATTGAAACCTTTCCTATAGGGAGGAAATATACTTTAACCAGTTCTGAGAGCTCAATTAGAAATATAGAAATATAGGTAAATAAGAGGAGTATCAGAGTGCAACCAGTCCTGAGAACTCGATTAGAAATCTAGAAATATAGATAAATAAGAGGAGTATCAGTGTTCAGACAGAGGAGTATCCTTTCTGTCTTAAAGTGGACCGAGAGCCTGGGAGGTTCATCATAGCAAAGTAGTGTACCCTGATCAGTGCTGGATACCCTGCTTGCCCTCCACCTTTTTTGGTCCCACTGAAGCTGGCTCTCTTCTCGCCATGATCACTTCCTGCCTAAACAGTTTGAGTAGCCTCCTAGCTAATTTATCTTTCTTTTGTCTCTTTCTGAGCCCAGTTCACCTTAAAACTGTGGCCAGAAGTATCTTTTTTAAAGCAATTGGATCATTATTTCCTCAGACCAGTGCCTCTCAGTTTCCTTACTTTTACATGTCCTGTTATAAGTTCACCTCTCCAGCCTTATTTCTCATCACTCTCACTGCCATGCTTCCTATACACACCCACAGTAATGACCATATCAGATCCTTGAATATCCACTGTTCTCCCTCCATGTGGAATGCCCTTGTCCCCATTCTCTGCCAGTGAAATCCTACTATTCATTCAAGGCTCATTTCACCTGACCCTTCCTCCAAGAAGTCTTCCCTGTTCCTTACACTTCCTCTCTCCCACCTCTAGTTTCCTCTAACATATTCCTATCCATGTTCTGACCACATTCTACTTCATATTTTATTTAGGAGTGTACGAATCTATTCTTCTCAGCTATTGTACACTTTGTGAGGATAGGGTCTGTTTCTTCATCTTTGTGTTCCATAGCATCTTGAATATATTTGTTAAATTGAATTAGCAATAGCTTTGGAACTCTAAAATGTGATCTTTTCTGTATTCTTGTATTTATTAAAACTTGAATATAATATGGTTTGGGGCTGTGAATTCTATTGTTTGTTTCTGTATTTTAAGATTTTAAAAACTAGTGTAACTTTATCATTTTCATATTTCTGAATGCTGGTACACGTGTGTATTAAACAACCATAAAAGTGTATTGTTGCTGGACCTGGCAACATCACAAAGTAGGCAGAGGTTCTCTCTGACGGTCTTATAGTCATGACTCCTTTAGCTGTAAGTAAAGAAAGGCTACTTACACTGGTTCAAGTAAAGTAGGTGTGGGGAAGGCAGTAAGCTCATACATAAGGACTGGAAACCAAACACAATGGGCCTCACAAAAAAATGGAACTGGTGAGTTGGGAGCCAAGATGGTGCTTAATTACGGGGAGGGGGTGGCGGGGTGTAAGTTCTCACACATCTGTTCCCTTCTCTTACTCATCTTACATCTAGCCCAATGGCTGCCTTTTCCACGTTTGTATCAGGACCTGCAGCTCCTATAGACAGTACTCACTCTAGCTCTCTTCTCTTGCCCTTCCTTATATGAAATTACGATGACAGAGAATCTGACTGACTCACTCCTGCCCATGGGTAGATCCATCTGTGGTCAGAGGTCCACACGTAAACATGGCTGTGCCCACACAGTAGGGCTATGCCAGTGGACAATGTATGATATGGACTTTTGGTTCCTTTTCAGTTACTCTCTCCATTTCTTTCTCAATTCTCAACCATTCTTCTCTGCTTAAATCCCTTCCTGGGGTCTGAATCTCTTTACCCCCAGGTTCTCTTCTCAGAAGAAAAGTGACTTTCCAAAACCTTATTCTGGTGTGAATTCTGTAACATATGAATTTTAACAATGAAATAATGTATCATTCATAAGTAAATCTTATCTGTTGTGGCCATCCTGTGTCCTTTCAAATAATCTTAATTATATGAGGGATTGTGACCTATGAGTCCCTCTAAATTTTCTCCTGGGAATGAGGGTTAGGTGGTGATGCAAGAAAAGACAAATGAAATAGTTTATAACTAAAATATCTAGTAGTTTACCAGTAAGTTCAACCTCACTTTATTGTTTTCTTATTTCTAGAACATGATTATTGAATGTTGCTCTGAAATCATCAATCTGTTTTTGACTGATGGAGATGTAATACCATTGTCTGAGGTACGTATCTTTTTGAAAATGTATCTGATTCTCTCACAAGTATTACTGTTGCTATGGAAACAGAAATACAGAAAACATCTATTATGAAAGTATCAAGAGCCTAACCCTCCTTAATTAATGTGAAGAAGTGATAAACAGGAGTTTATAATAGCATGTTATTTTGGTTAAAAATCTTCTTTGTTAAAAAATCAAGTACAGAGAATTATGAAGAGGATAATTTTAAAATCATCTCAAATCTACTATTCAGAGAATAATCAACTACGGGCATTTTGGAGAATATCTCAAATTTTTTCCATGTACAGATAAACCTTAGAATTTTTACAGATAAACCTTAGAATTTTTACATCAATGGGATTTACTGTACATGCATTCTGTAGCTTTTTTTTTATTTATTTAACAGTAGTGTTATGGAGATACTTTTATGTGGAAAGTCTACTTTGTCATGTTTAATGCTTGCATAATAGCCTCTTTTGTATATTTTTTGTCAGGCTCTATTTACACAACTAGATCTTTATTCTTGAATCTTGAGGTTGATGGATTCTAGCATATACATATTTCACCCTTCTGTATTACCTCCTCAGAGTTATTTCTTAGGAGTACATTTTTGGAGTAAAAAAAGTGTATATACTTTTTTATTATGGTAAGATATACATAATATAAAATTCATACTTTTAAACACTTCTACATACACACTTCAATGGCATTAAGTACATTCACAATGCTGTGCAACCGTCTCCGCCATCCATCTCCAGAATTTCTCACCATTCTAAACAGAAACTTTGTGCCCATTAAATGGTAACTCCCCATTCCGTCTTCTCCTTCTCCCAGCTCCTGGTAGCCTCCATTCTACTTTCTGCTTCTATTGTACTATTTGCCCATTCTAGATACCTGCACATAAGTGGAGTCATACATAGGATCCTGTGTGGTGGGCTTATTCCACTTAGCACACTGTTTTCTTTTTTTTTTTTTTAAAGATTTTATTTATTTATTTGAGAGAGAGAGAATGAGACAGAGAGAGCACATGAGAGGGGGGAGGGTCAGAGGGAGAAGCAGACCCCCCGCTGAGCAGGGAGCCCGATGTGGGACTCGATCCCGGGACTCCAGGATCATGACCTGAGCCGAAGGCAGTCGCCCAACCAACTGAGCCACCCAGGCGCCCAGCACAGTGTTTTCAAAGCTCATTCTTGTAGCATGTATCACTACATCCCTTCTTAAGGCTTGATAATACTCCACTCTGTGGATGTACCACATTTGTTTATGCATTCTTTTGTAGGGAGTCGTTTGAGTCATTTCTCCCTTTGGCTGTTGTAAATAACGCTGCTATGAACATGGGTGTACAAGAGTTTGCTCGCAATTCCCCTGGGATCTACACTCTCTCACTGGCAGTAGATGAGAGGGTCAGTTTCCCCACATATTCATCTACACAGGCTCTCCCCGCCTACTTCCCCTCTCTCTTCCCTTTCCCCTTCTTTTCCCTCTCTTTCTTGTCTTTGTCCTTCCCTTTTGCTAACCATTCCAGGCATGCTAAGTGAAAAAAAAAATGACATTTTCAGTTATTTCATATTTATTAATAATCTGGCCAAATATAGTTTATATGTTTGTTGGCAATCATTGTTTCTCCTTTTGTGAAATAGTACTCATTCATTTAGTCAATCAACAGATCTTTAGAGGGAGCTGTGCATGTGTCAGGAACCCCTTTCGAAGACCCTGGAGAACCAGCTGCGAACGAGCTGCAAGGACCTTGCTCTCTTGGGGCTGCCATTTTTGTGGAGGGAAATAGTAAATAATAGTAATAAATCAGTAAGCAGGATAATTTCAGATTTTGTTAAGTGATATGAAAGAAAAAACAGAGTGATATGTTAGAGTAGGGTCAGGTCAGCAACCTACAGCCTGTGAACTCTATCTGGCCCACTGCCCGTTTCGTAAATAACATTTTATTGGAACACAGGATGCTCATTTGTTTATTTGTGATCTCTAGCTGCTATGAGCTATAGCAGCAGAGTTGGGTAGTTTTGAGAGAGACCATATAGCCCAGAAAGGCTAAATTATTTATTTTCTGGTCCTTTACAGGAAAAAAAGTTTGCTAGCCCCTGTGATAGAAGGTAACAGGGAATGGGGCAATAGTTTAGATAGGGAGGTCCAGGAAGATTTCTCTTAGGAGATGACATTTGAAGTAAGAACTGGAATATTACACTATGTTTCTCCCACTAGATCACTAGCTTCTTGGATCAGGAGCACTACTATCTTAACTTTTGAATACTTTAAAGTGCCTAGTACAGTGTATCACTTGGTTACTCTTTCTTGAATTGAATTAAATTCCCTTTAGTTTTAAATATCTGAAATTTAATATTTGACTTAATTTTTTTTTTCATTTGGCCATTCATGTCCTTTTCCTATTTTTTAAATGGGGAACCTAATTTTTGTATTATGGAAATACATAGATTTACCATGGAAGACATTATAATAAAAATCAAGTTTAATCTAATTTCATACAAACTGTGTTTAAAAATAGGTCACAGAAGAAGGAGTTGCTATTTTAAGACATATGGTTTATAGCACTAATGGGCTTGGGCATCTGACAGAACTGGGTTGGAATCCCAGCCTTGAATCTCACTAGTTGTATGACCACAGGCAAGTTATTTAATTTCCCTAAGCCTCACCTTTCTCATATGTAAAGTGGGGGTAGTAATGCCAACCCTTCACAGCTGTGAGGACTAAAAGAAATAATACACGTTAAGTATTTGGAATAGGGCCTCACACAAATAAATGTTTGGTAATTATTAGCTGTTTAGGCATCATCATCACACCTACTATGGTCCTGCCTTCCACGTGTGAATTCTTCATCCCCTAGTCAACTAATTTCTTTTTTTTTTTTTAAAGATTTTATTTATTCATTTGAGAGAGAATGAGATAGAGAGAGCATGAGAGGGGGGAGGGTCAGAGGGAGAAGCAGACTCCCCGCCGAGCAGGGAGCCCGATGAGGGACTTGATGCGGGACTCGATCCCGGGACTCCAGGATCATGACCTGAGCCGAAGGCAGTCGCTTAACCAACTGAGCCACCCAGGCACCCCCTAGTCAACTAATTTCAAAGAGGTTTTTAGGATCCAAATTTGTTTTGATACATTGATAGAAAAGGAGAGGAACAGTGTTAAAGATAGAGAAAGATGGGGCGCCTGGCTGGCTAAGTAGGTGGAGTGTGTGACTCTTGATCTCAGGGTTGTAAGTTCTAGCCCCACACTGGGTATAGCGATTACTTTAAAAAAAAATCTTAAAAAAAAAAAAAAGAGAGAGAGAAAGAACCAGGAACCATTTTTTTTTGTGACGTAAATCACTGCTGAATCCTAGAGGCATGAGATCAGTGTGCGGGATCCTGACTTGAGATCCCCCGCAGTGAAAAGACCCACTAGTCCAAGAGAAGGGGCCCCCCACTTGAACCCCATACCAATACCTCCCCTGAAAGCAAGACTTACCTACTAGTGCTGGGGTGGGGCATGGGAATTTCCAAGCCTGTTCCAAAAAGCAAACTGTTAGACAAACAAAATGCCTTAGTGACATGCCTTAGTGAAGCTGTTTTTGTCACTGAAATGGGATCTCGCTGTGCAGTTTGGTTCCTTACTGAACATACCTGTTACAGTTGCCTTTGCCTCTACTGTGTCTCCCTAATTAAAACAAATATTGCCACACACAGCCTGTGACAAAAAAAAATTGAGAATAGCAAGAAGGTGGAGGAAGGAAATGAGCTCTCTGTGCTAACCAAGGAAATAAATGACCATTAGGTTTCATTTCTGGTGTACCAGCAACAAAGTAATCCTTTCCTTGCCTACATAGGTTCAAATTATTGCAGTTTCCAGGTTGTCAGGTAGGAGTCAAACATGATGCTAAAAATATGCTTTCTGTTCTTGCGGTGACTGACCACGAGGAGGGCTAAGTCATTATATACAACTGTCTGCTCATCAGTAATTATTGACTTCCAACTGCACACAGAACATTGGTGTGTAGATACTTTATTGCTGTGAAAGCAGCAGAGATTAAAGGTCCTGTGTTCAGCTAAATTAAATATTTTCCTATTGGTTCACATGATACAAATAAATTTACCGTGTATGTGTGTGTGTTTGCGTTTGTGTGTGTGTGAACTGAACTGACTGCAGTCATACAGAATCAGTATGGAAGGAAATTCCTAGGAGCAGATCCTGGTTCAAAGGTGGAAAAGATGATTCTAAGCCAAGAGATAAGCCCCACTGTATAAGAAGATTGCAAACTAGTTTTTCTTGGCTGCATGAATTTGTTAGGATTTCTTTTAGTTCAGGATCTCTAGCTAGACCTAGCGTAGTGCCTGACAGATAAGAATGATAATCATTAATGCAAATGCTACTGCTAGTAATAATTTTTATTGGGCAATGGAATGTGCAGACACTACTCAGTGTTTTAAATATGGTATCTCATTGCATATTGCAAGAACTCTGTGAAGTTGGTTACTATTATTATCCCCACATTAGAAATGAAGAAATTAAGCAGCATGTTGGGATCTCACACTTGTAAGTGGAGGAGGCAGGAGTCAAAGACAGTTCTGCTTCAGTCTGGGATCTGCATCTTTCACTAAATTATACCCAGCAAATGTTTCATTAGAATAGAGAGCAGATGCTACAGGGAATTGAGGAGTGAGAGAGTGAAAGTTGCAGGTGTAGATGAACCTTTGGGAAGGTTTGGGTGAGAAGTCTGCAGGGGTAGAGGAACAGCTGAAGGGGGCCCATCAGGAGGGCGCTAGGATGGGAGGTGTGATGAGGGAAAAGAGCTAAGAGGGGTGGAGTTTGCCTCTCTAGAAGAGACAAGGACAAACAATGGAGGAGGGCCTTTGGAGAGGGGGTGGGAACAGAAAGACATGACAGCATGAGCAAGAGAGCTGACTGGGAACAGAGGAAAGACCTCTTTCTCTAGGTCTTGGGGTGGCAGATGAAGGTGAGTGGGGGCGTGAGTGAATGTGGAAGAAAAGGGTGGGAGA